TTAAAACAAAGATCTAACAATTACAGGTTGCCTACCATGAAACAGACTAGGAGGTTTCAGTCCCAAAAGATCTTTAAGCAGAGGCTGGATGACCACCCATTGGAGATCCTGTGAAGGTAAGGCCCCTCGTTTTGCAGATGAGGAAATGAAGGCCCACAGTCACAGAGCTAGGAAGTGTCTGAGGTTGGCGTTAAATCCATCTCTTCTTTATTCCACATCCACTATTGTACGTACTATACCATCCTGATTCTGTTGTACTCCCAAGACTCCTAGTATAGTCCTTTCCCAAATACCTAAAAAGTCTATAAATACACATTCAATAAACAGTTAAATTTCACAATTCCTTTACATGATCTTTAAGAAAAATTAAGATTTCTCCAACTGATAGATGGTCAAAGGCTAAGTGGTGCAGTGGATAGAGTGCTAGCCCTGGAGTCACAAAGACCTGAGTTCAAATCCAGCCTCAGGCACTTACTAGCTGTGTGACTCGGGCAAGTCACAGAATCCTGTTTGCTTCAGTTTCCCCATCGGAAAAAATGAGAAGGAAATGAAAAACCCCTCCTGTATCTTTGCCAAGAAAACCCCAAAGAAAGTCAGACATGACTGAAAGAAAAAAAAAACCTGACGACAACAAAGGATATGAACAGACAAGTTTCAGAAGAAGAAATCAAAGCCATCCATAGTCACATTAAAAAAATGCTCTAAATCATTATTGTTTAGAGAAATACAAATTAAAACAATTCATACCTATCAGATTGGCTAATATGACAGAAAAGTAAAATGACAAATGCTAGAGGGGATATGGAAAAATTGGGACACTAATGCACTGCTGGCACAACCTAGTAGGTCTGTATTCCAAAGATATCAAAGAAAAGAGGGAAAGGACCTAATTCTACAAAAATATTTAAGTGGTACTTTTTGTGGTGGCAAAGAATTGGAAATTGAGGGGATGCCTATTAATAGGAAAATGGCTAAACAAGTTGTGGTATAAGGTGTGATGGAATACTATCGTGCTATAAGAAGAGGGGGATGGTTTCAGAAAAACCTGGGAAGACTTATATGAACTGATGCAAAGTAAAGTGAGCAGAATTGTTAGAATATTGTATACAGTAACAGCAATATTGTAATGACGATCAACTGTGAAAGACTTTACTCTACCAAAACAACAATCTAATATTATTCCAAAGGATCCATAATGAAAAATGTTATCCATTTCCAGAGAAAGAACTGTTGAACTCTACGAGTGCAGACTGAAACATACCTTTTTTTATTTTCTTTATTTTTCTTGTGGGTGTGTTTTCTTTTACAATATAGTTAATATGGACATATGTTTTGCATGACTTCATAAGTATAATCATTATTATATTGCTTTCTCAATGGGTAGGGGAGGGGTGGGAAGTAGGGAGAAAATTTGGAATTCAAAATATTTAAAAACAAACATTAAAAAACTTACCTGTAATTGAAAAATATTGAATAAAACAAAAATACATTTTAAAAAAGAAAAGAAAAATTAAGATACTATGAAGCTGGGGAATCTGATCAAGGCAAATTAAGATGACTCCATTCTTAGCCACTAGAATTTTCCTCTGAAAAATGTTCCATACAAAATAGCACACAATCTGAAAAACAGTATTGTCATGAACACAGTAAAAAAAAAAAAATCAGCAATGAATCTTCAGCTGTCTACTCTGAATGGTCAGAGCTCAATGATGAAAATTGTTCACAGAAAAGAAAAATAAACAGAGAAAACATTTAATCTTTCTATCGCAATGCTAATAGTTTGATGAATCTACATACTAAGCATACTAAAGTTTATAAAAAAAGAGTGAAGGACCAGCACAACCCTGAGTACATATTCAGTCACTTAGCCCTATGCCACTGAAGGGCCCATTGTAAACAACCTCCTAAAACAAAAGAGTTCACAAGCAAATAAGACTGACTGCTGATATCAGTGTGGCACTGACACATCTGTCTATTTGCCTTCAGTTGCTAGGATTCAGTAAGCACATTTACCTCCAAAGCTTGAAAATGTGCATATCTTTGATGTTCTATTGATTCCATGCTAAAAGAGGATCCACGCTGACAAATATTTAAGTATTGCTTTGAAACCAAGCTCATATATTACTGACAACTTATTAGAAAGTGACAAGAAACAAAAATGATTAATTAAACTCTTGATTAAAAGAGTTTTTTAAAATGCTAACAACGAAATCAAATAAAGGCATACTTTTAGTTATTTGCCAAAATGATAAACTTCAAACTACCAACCAAATCAACAGTTATTTATTAAGCACCCACAATGTGCCAAGCACTGTGCTGGCACTGGAGATACAAATGCAAAAAAATGGAACAATTCCTCACTCTCAAGGAATCTATGTTCTACAGAGAGGCATATAGAATAAATAAAAAGTAAAACACAAGGTAGTAGAAGACAAGGAAGATTCCTGAAGGATCTCTGGTTGGCTGGACTCAGAGAAGGTCAAGTTGGAGCTACATCTTGAAGGAAGAGTTCAAATTCATGAGGCAGATAGAGGGAAAGCAGAAGGCATGCAGATAATCAGCCAGGCTGGAGCCCAGTCTTGGAAATGGGAAATAGAGGGTCATGTGTGACAAAGAGAAGGCCAACTTAGGGGTACTATATACTGCAAGAAGGAAGATAATCTATAATAAGGCTACAAAGAGGCTAAAGCCAAACTACAAAGGTGTTTAAGAATCAGAGGATTCATGTCTTATCCTAGAGGCAAGGAGGAGACACTGTCGTTTATTAAATAGGACAGTGACACGGTCCAATCTGCACACAAGCACTTTTCACAGCAGGGGAGATGTCGGGCCTGAGGAGGCAGGGAGATAATGAGACGGCCACCACGAGAGTCTGGGCCAAAGGCGATGAGCCTGAACTCAGTGTGAACAATGTGAGGAGAGAGAAAAATTAGGTTGCAGAGATAGAAACAACAAAATTTGGCAACTGACAGGCTATGTGAGATGAGGGATCATAAGAAGGGCAGGCTGATGCTGAGGTTACAAAGCTAGGAAGCTAGAAGAATGGTGGTGCCTTTGACAGAACTAGGAATGTTTATAAAAAAGGTGGTTTGGGGAGGATGACAAGAAGAAGAAGAAGACAGTTGAGTTCTGTTCGAGACATGCTGAGTGTGAAATGTCTGAAATGTCCACTAGGCAGCAAGTGATGTGGGACTGGAGCTCAAGGGAAAGACTAGGGCTCAACACAAAGAACTGGGAGTCATCAATATAGACAGCTGGACATAATTCAGAACACACAAGTCTTGTCTAACCAGAATCTTTTTCAATCTCACATAAGAAAATGCATGTTAAACAAATGGAAAACTGGGGAATTATGTAGATTTGTTTTAAATTAAGCCACTCCTAGGAATTAGTCTGAAGATGAGAGGGAGCTAAGGCTTAGTGGCATCAAAAACTGCTTTTTTATCCCTAAACCTTTCCACCAGTCCTAAACACTACCACTAGCGGGTTCCATATTCAATCTCACCCAATGGGCTATGGAAAGAACAGGAAACTTGTAAGGGTAAGAATGATGAGAATGGAAGAGAACTACGAGATTCCTCATCCTGGGCATTCTGAAGAGGAATATTATCTATCCTTTGCCTCATAGTGATGCAAAGAAAGTTGGCCAACTGTCTCTACATGCCCTCTGGTGGGCAGGAGGTGTTACTAAGGCTATTTTTTACTTAGAATGAAAAGCTCAGGATGATATAGTAAGCAAATCTGCCAATAGTAACTTTGAAAAATCAAAATTTCTCCTCTGATTTAAAAGAGCACAAATTCTTGTTAAGATCATATAAGCCTCCTTAGGTCATCATATTGGTTTCCTCTCACACGGTACCTCAGAACCACAAACCCTTCAACTTCAAAGTTCTTCATACTTTGAAATAAACCTGACTGCCATGGATCATTTGTTTATCCTAACTTTAGTATTTTAATGAGTGTATGCATGTACATATGTGTGTACTCATATTTAGACATCTTTCTTTACTTATCTGTCTATTCGCCCTTGCTAGTCTGTCCCCAAAGCTACCTGGAACATGTTTATTCCCTGTCCCTATTTGTTAAGTCCTTTCCTTTTCACTTTTCAAAAAGTTACTGAAATTATACATTCTCCATGAATACTCTTAAATAAGTGGGAATATGGTAGGACTTAAAGAGTTCATTCATTTGCCCTACCCAACTTCATAAAAAATTATTTGTTAATATGACTATCTTGAAAGTGAGAATAAAAAGCTGTCCAGCCCACCTTAAAAAAAAAGTATTTGTCAGCTTGCTCTTGAGCCAAGTAGAATCAACACTATTTTCCACTTATCTGATACCAGCTTTTACTCACTTTGGACAAGTGACTTTGTACTTAACTATTCCTTTAAATCAAATTCTGATGAAGCTATTCTTGTCTATGTATATAGAATGAATATCAAAGAGATTCTAAAGGAAAATGAATGTACTTGACAAAGTGTGGATAATGGTAACAAAATTTTAGGTTTTTTTTTTCTATTTAACCTTTAGCTTCCTTAAGTAGTATGGGACCAATATGCTAAAATACCAAGAAATAGTAACAAGACAATGTTTTGTTTAGATACGCCTCTAAAGAAGTCAGTTTTTTTCTATATTTAAGAAAAAATTTAGTATCTGAGGAAAATCCAAGTTAGCAGTCACAATATTTTATAGGAAAAGGAACATGGATCTAAATAACTTGAGTCAGAATCATTTACATTGCAGCCTTGGTCACATCTTCCATTTGCATGGATTTTATTCAAATGTCTGGATACTAGGTAAAAAATTTCATTTGTGACCCATGTGGAGAGATCTTCATATGACTATACTCTAGAACTAGAGCAAAATTCCTTATCATATGTGGTTTGGGTTTAACACTCACCTACTTAAATAAGCAAAGCTGAAATGGGGGGAGAGAGAAAGAAGAAAAGGGAGAAAGGGACAGGGAGAAGAG